CGTAGATGCGCCATCTCTACTCCCAACACAAAAGCTATACTCTGGCTCGCTAGGCAAGGTGACAAACGTCTTCGCGGGCGGGAATACGTCTTTCCTTGCTGTCGAAGCGACCAAAGGCAACAAGACTACTGCAGACACATGGGCTTTTGGATTCGGTCTCACAGGTCAACTTGGTGTTGGTCGATGGGTGCACACGCAAGCCGATCCCGTCAAGGTTCCCGCCTTCTCCGGTCTTTTCGAGTGGGACGAAGCCAAGAACACTGCAATTCCGATACGTCTATTGAACATCTCAGTTGGATCAACCCATGCCGCCGCCATCCTCGACAACGTTGCCAGCGTCGCTGTGACCGGCCGGTCAAAGAAGCTTACTGATAACGACACAAACTGGGGTCGCGACATCCTGTTCTGGGGTAACAACGAATATTACCAAATCGGCAGTGGCAAGCGGAGTAATCTAGCCACACCAACATACATCCAACCACTCGACCAAGCCGCTGAGCAAGAGCGAGCAGCATCTGCGGGCGGTTTTGGAAAACAACTAAGAGAAAAGGAGATGCACCGTTTCCAAATCACACCAAGGAATAAGGTCAAGGTCAATGGTCGCACAGTTGAATTTGAGCAAAAGGTGGAGTGTGGAAGAGGATGCACTGCCGTTTACTCTGCTGTTTGATCTACCAGCTACTGTTTGTGTTTTTTCTTGTACATATACCTCCGCCTTTTAGGGCGGGCACCGCTACGTTTGATGACATGTAAGAGTAGGTTGAAGGATAGGCTATATCTCTCCCAAATCAAATCAAGAGTGTTTGATCTTCAGAATCACACCATTACAATGATAACAAAATTTCCACTTCTGTTAGCGTGTCTGTGTGACTAGTGTCGGGTATAAGCGTCGACCGGACGGCTGCTGGCGTGCGCATGTCGTGGGTCCGTATACTCCACTATTCAATCAATTTGAGATTCGTAGGGAGTTGCGACACGCGCCGATGCGATTGGTGGCATTATTTCCATGCCGGAGAGTAAGAATAACGTCTCTGTTGTAAGAGGTAAAGATAGAACTATAGTTTGGTCCACGACACTTACCTACAAAATGTTGCCATGACAAGACGTGCTCGGAGCGATGGATTGAGGAGGGACACTAGAGATGTGGTAGTGGATTCGAAGAGGAGTTTTTATGGGGAGTAGCGGGAGAACAGAGTAGTCATCGAGATGTTGAAATATGTGTGATTGCACCGACTACAAGCCTGTGTCGGCGACCTAACTAGCTGATGTGGGTATATGGTACAAGACGCGCGAAGCTACATGACTTTTGGTACAGATGATAACAATAATAAAAAAGAATAGCTCGCAAACTGGAGAAAAAACGTATAAACAAGAACGGCCTACGCTAGTACAAAAAGACAAGATTAGACAACCGAAAAACACGTACCCAGGCCGCCGAAGAAACTCCTCCGAGCTCGCCCGAGATTAAAGAAATTGGGGACGCAGAGTCGATCAAAGCCCCATTCGCTGGATCATTGCTCGTGACTCGGCTTCAGATAGTTCGTTGCCGTCGATGTTGATGCGACCTTCCTCGACTTGCGCGAGGTCCGGCTTGACGAGGCCTTCGTGGAGGTACTTGAGAAAAGATAGTAGCTTCTCTTCGAATTCGGCGTATGGATAGCGTTCCTGGGCTGCTTCTATCGCCTGTAGACTTGATTGCGCCCGACCGTTTGGTAGTAGTTCGTTGATGTATTGGCGCTTGATCCTGGTCCACTCGCAGTTCTCTTCGCGAAGATTACCTTCAGCACAGAAGAGTCTCCTCATTGCTGCCACGTCCGCTGGTTCTTCGGCCCATCGTTCGACGCCAGGGCAGCCATACGCGAAGATGGTGTTGAAAGCTTCGTCACCGTAAGCACCATTACGAAGATATTCGCCGATGATAGCCTGTAGCATAAACTGTGCTGCCAAGTCGAACCACTCAGCCGTTGGCAGCCAGTCGTCATCCAGGTTGACACGTGCGGCGGTAAGCTCGATGAAGACAGGGAGTAAACAGTGGAGCGAGGGCGTGCCTGCTACATCGGTCACCCACCTCCGCTGATCGACAGGCATTCTCAGTGCGGAGGCAAGAGCAGAGCGGTTTTCGTAAAGAGCGCCATCGGAGAGAGGAAAGTCCTTCTGCTGGTCGAAAGGGTCCTGGAGCGCAGAAGGATGCTGAGTTCGTTGCCGCCAGTACTCGCCACGGGATTTGTTCTGCTCGCGCAGACTGTTCAGTGACTCTTCGGTTGTCCAGGTCTCGTCGTGATGCAGCCGATGTGTGAAGATCAGGGCAAACTGCAACAAACGCGATCGAAACGACGCCTTGGCATCTAGGCGTCGGCCATGGTGTCTGTGCCCGAGGAATGTCCTCCAATCTGATAGTCGTGAGCACGTGATGCATTGCCGTAACAGGCGCAAGTCATACCAGCAGTCATGTTGACGAGCGCATTGGGCAGATCTGAATGGTATGGATCACTGCTCGATTTCCACTCAAAGACCAAGTCAATGGCCTTGTAGACAAGGAAATCTAAGATGGTGAGATCGACGTCGAATTGGTCTTCCTCTTCAGTCTCCATGCGCCGGGTCAGGTTCAGGTAGCCTTCCCTGGGGTGTCCGTTGCTGTCGTGTGTGTTTGCCATGGCTTGATGCAGGGCGCTGTAGGTGGGGAGAAGGGGGCGGGAGGCGGTCAACATGGAAGGTAGGGCGATATATAGGCAAGTGAATGACGGAAAGGACTGTACGAAGCAAAGGCTGGAGGGAGCTGAGGGAGAAAGAGCACGAAAGGCGTGATAGCAAACGGGTTATAGCAGAAGGATGCCCCCTCTAGACCCCACAGTTAGCCCACCCTGGAGGACAAAGACATTGGGCGGCTGGCTGGATGCAGGGTCGACTTCATGCGTCGTGACCCGAGAGTTTGTGTCGCTGCAGGGGGAGGTTCGCACGGCATGCGCAAGCGAGGCGAAGGAGTTCACGTCAAACAGACAGGCTGAGTCGCGGCGCAAAGGGCTCCACCAGCATCGGGTCTGAGCAACTGGAGGGGAGCGGAAGAGACCGCACCTGCATGGTGGCTGCCTGGCTGAGACGCCGGCGCCGTCGCAGTCGCGTCGGGCACGACCGGAGGGCGCGCGAGGCCGTGGAAAAATTATCAACCACGGCCAACTCCTGTTCGCATCCAGAGTGTCGCATGCAGCACGCAAGCGGCCTAGCGTGAGGTACCGATGAGTGAGCGATGGCGCCGGCCGCGTCTATCTCGCCCGCGGGCTGCTGCGATCGCCCATGCGCCGACGCCACCAGCAGCCAGCACCCCACACGCAGCACGCCGTCTCCCACACTGACACCTGCCTGGAGCTGGGAGATGCGCGCCCGTCCACGCCTGCCAGTGCGCGACAATGCTGCCCAAGAAGTGCTCCATCCTCCTGCCCTCGTACACTAACCTCAGTCCCCTCTACTATTCCCACGCTGGGAGCTGCGCAGGTCCCCAGCCGGCCAAGTCATGCCGTCATAGATTCGCACGTCCTGAGGCCGCAACACAGCGCCGCTCCTACGCCCAACACCAGGACGCGCCCGCCTACCGCGATGACGCAGAGCTGCTCAGGTGGCCGGACGCCGTGAAGCCGCACAAGACACCCACGCCCTACCAGATCCTGAAGTGCCGCAAGGGCGACGCCTACACCAAGCACCGCTTCTATGCCCTCGTCAAGCTCTACCACCCCGACCGCTGCCATGCCGAGTCGGCCATCGCCCAGCTGCCCCTCCACGTGCGTCTCGAGCGCTATCGAATGCTAGTCGCCGCCCACGACATCCTCTCCGATGTCCAGAAACGCAAAGCGTATGATGCCTGGGGCCACGGCTGGGCCGGTCACCACCAGATGCCCATGGGCCCCCGTCATAACGACTGGCACTATGATCCACATCGCTGGAATACGGATCCGCGTACCAATGCGACCTGGGAGGACTGGGAGCGCTGGCACTACGAGAACGGCGGCGGCGCCAAGGACTCGGATGCCCGCACGATTCAGATGTCCAACTTTACCTTTATGGCCCTCATCTTTGCGTTCGTCAGCATAGGCGGCGTCGTGCAGGGCACTAGATTCAACACCTTCAACAACTCGGTCATAGAGCGGCGCGACCAGATCCACCGCGAGGCGAGCATGGAGTACAGCCGGAGCAGAAATGCCACTCTGAGCTCAAGTGGAGATCGCGACGAGCGCATACGCACCTTCCTTAATCACAGGGAGTCGACTATAGTCGGCGAGCAGTCCTACCAGCGCTTACTCCCGCCCGCCGACACCTGCTCGCCTGATGAGATCAGGAGGCAGTAAAATGAGCACATTGTGGTGCCTGATAGATTTGCTATACCCTCCAGCACATTTTGGTGCTATATCGTACGACTGTTATTACTTCGCGGCATGAATGGAGCTAGGGCGTTCGGTTCTGTATGTATCATTCGGCAGGCGGCACATATGCGCGCGGCGGGCATATCCTAGCCCTCATGCGCTCAGACACCACGCAAATTCAACGACAATCACCAACAGCACCCCCGCCGTGCCTGTGATCGTGTACTCGTTTTTCTTCTTCCAGCACCCTGGCCGTCGATCGTAGTATGACGGCGGCGTAGAATATCGACACTGGCAATATATCGAAGATGATCTACGCCAGAAGCAGCATGGCTTCCGCGCTACCGCCTACACCCAGGGTAGCAGAGCCTCAAACAGTGCTGCAACTGTGTCACGCGGGTCCAGTCCCCTAGATGATGTTCCAGCTTGGCAATAAGCGAGATATCTCAAGGGTAGGGTATATGACAAGTTTTATTACTACATGTATGCGAACGCATGAATGCTCGCGCCACCAATGCTCCATCTCAACGTTTACCGATGGCGATCAGTAATAACTTACGCGATTCTAGGTTTGCACCACCACCTGACATGCTCGCCAACAGCTGCACCTGCATCCACGACTCAGCCCCTGCGCAATCGCCCCGCGACCTATGGTGTCGTTGACACGCCATTCCTCAAGTTGTCGAACTTGGAGTCGGGATACAGTAGCCAATTGGGCGATGACTCGATGCCTGCACCACTCCCGCCGCCCATCTTCTCGACAACCTTTATACGTTAGCAAACTCGTCTCCACTCTCAGACACCCACGACTCACGTTTGTCACGATGCTCCCGCTGTCATCTGTCCTGTCACCGCTGATCTCCCACCACATTGCGCCACCCAACCCTTGTTCTGCAATGTAGTCGACCTTCTTGAGCGCCATGGCCACAGTATCATAGCTGACGAACTCGCCACTCGCTTCGTCGTAGCTGTACGTTGCGCCAGCCTCTTCATCGTAGTACTCCTGTGCACCTGCAAGGGGCAAGTCCTTGAAGTCGTAGACGCCTCGCTCGAATGATCCGGTGCCGATGCCACTGAACGACGTTCCTAGACCCTGAGTGTTGGTGAAGGAGCGACCGTAAAGCGGCATGCCAAGATTGAGCTTGGAGGAAGGAACGCCCGCGGCGCTGTAGGCGGCCAGAACGGAAGCTGTATTGAAGGGCGTGCTCAGGGGAGTCGAGGTCGAAGGGTAAAGGTTCGATTGATGGCCAGTCTGATTATCCCAGGAGCCGGCGTAGTCGTATGCCTATTTTCGCGTTAGTTTATTTGTTACTGCATTTGGAGAGGCCAATACTTACCATCAGATTGATAAAGTCTGTGACCGCACTGATCTCTTTCAAGGGCAGGTGCTTGTAGTTCTTCTCTCCCGCCGGCGAAGCGATAGTCAAGAGGAACTTGGGCTTCAGCTCGCGTCCAGACTCATCCTCGTACACAAGTGTATCGGCATACTCATCCATCTGACTTCTGATCTCCTTCAACAGTGCAAGCAACTGCCCGCCTTGCTCCTTGTCGGTAGGATACTCCCAATCCACATCAATGCCATCGAAGCCGTAGTCGCGAATCAACTCCACACAAGACGACGCAAAGAGTTGCCTACCCGCAGCCGTAGCCATAGGTCCATCCATGTGCTTGGCAACGTTCGTATACGTCCAACCACCTACACTGAGCAACACCTTCAAGTTCCTATTCTTCGCCTTGAGGATCTGAAGCTGCTTGATCGATCCATAGACATTGTTGCCTACGTCGTTCCAGGAATCAGTCGGGTAGTGCTTTTCCGCGTCAGCGTATGTGTCGGTGAGGAAGACGGTGCCGTCGGGCTTGTTGTCGGCGAAGGAGTAGAGGAGGTGGGTGAGTCGCTCTGCGGGTATCTGCTGGGGTTGGAAGTTGCGTGCGTAGATGTCCCAGTTTCCGTAGTAGGCTACTGAGCGGTAGCCGGGGTGGGTGGGGATGTTGGGGTTGGTGGGTTCGGGTGGTGTGTCGCTTGCTGTGGGCTCTGGTGGGGGTATGGCGTATGATGGCGTGGCTGGGACTGAGGGCTGCGTGATCACATAGCTTGTGACTATGGATGAGGAGGGAACAACAAAGGTAGAGGCTGAACTTTGGGGTGGAGTCGTTGCGTATGAAGGCGTAGCTGAGACTGAAGGTTGCGTAGTCACATAGCTGGTGACTATGGACGAGGAGGACACAACCCAGGTCGAGGCAGAGCTTTGAGGAAAGTCGGATGTGCTAAAGCTAGCATAGTATTCGTTTGATGAGCTCGGCACTGTGGTGGGGACGGTAGACGTTAGGATGGATGATGAGGAATCGATGAAGCTGTAGGCTGAACTTTGAGGCAGACCGGATGTGCCAAAGGTGGTGTAGTATTGGCTCAATGAACTCGGCGTTGCGGTGGAGACGATAGATGTTAAAGCGGATGTTGAGGAAACAACGAAGCTGTAGGGCAGACCAGATGTGCCAAAGGTGGTGTAGGATTTGCTTGATGAGCTTGGAGTTGCGGTGTAGGCAGCAGGTGTTGGAGAGTACGACTGAGCTGCATACGAAGAATAAGCATCGCCACCGGGGAACTATTTCGTGGTCAGCATGATCGATACCGCAGAAGGAGATTGGCCTTGACTTACCAGAGCTTGCTCTATCTTCGCATACTCTCGTTCAAGCGTCTCAACCCTGAGAAGCAAGCATTCTCGATCACACTCGTCTTGCGTCTCCTGGGAAGAAGCGAGAGCAGTGAGTAGAAAGATGGTGGCGCATAGCCATGTTGGTAACGATCGTGTCCACTGCTTGTACTGTCAGTCTCATGAATTACATCCTCATGTCACTTCCGTTGTTCTCAAACCTACCAGCATGTTTCGCATCACTGGACTTCAGTGACAGTTGTAGTAAACAGATGTATTATGTACTTTGTTTCTGGATACCGGTTACAGCGGCATTCCATCCGCTCTTAAAACATATCCCTCTCGCGCGTCGTTGCCCCATGCTCCCACCCTCCTCCTTTCGTATCCAGCTTTTTCTCGTGGAATCTGCGATACTGGCATGCATCTCAAGCGTTATTTACGACCTGTCTTAGTACCTTTTGAGCTTGTCGTTCCTTGGGTGGTAACCGTTGCGCATGCATGTTGTTGTCCGTTCTTGGAAAAGGGTCCCGCTTGTTTTGGTAAGCAGGGACTTCAGGGAGTGGTTTGCGAGGTCGGTGCATGCAGGTACGCTATCTCAACGTGATAGAGACTAGTGTGGACTGTAGAAAATGTGGATGAGGTGGGTATGAATACACCATGATGCGCAGAATTTAGGAGACGGGTTTGGGGCCGAGGATGGCTGGGTGCGGTTGTTTGGGGCGACGGGATCATATCCTAGACCCCCGTGGTGGGTATTGAACGGTACACAAGGCTGGTACCTGGCGATAGACCGGTTGTTATTATGTGTTCGCCTCCTGTGCGGCGGAGGTCTTCCCGGTCAACATCTACTCGGCTCGAGGCCATGCATTTTCAGCCTCTGCTCCACCGCCTTTTTCGTCTTCCTCCTCCTGAAAACCAGCACGAAAATTACCACGGTCAGTAATGCAGCACAGGCCTGCACGATACCAACATACCAACTCGCACTCTGCACACTGCTTTAGCGAGCCCTCTTTTCAAATCCCTCAAGATCATCCACTTACCTGCACATTACAATAACTGCCAAAGTCAATGTCACCCACGAACTCTTTTTGAATTGCCCTCGCACCACTACTACACGTCCAGCCCCAAAGTTCATCGCTCTTCCCATCTTTATCCTTCTCGGTGCGATACACAGTAGCGGCTACACACCACACAATGAAGTTCCCCAGCATATTGACCCAGCTAAAGGTACTCGTGACAACAGCGGCTACATTAGCCTGTTCGATACCACACTTGTACGAAAAGATCGTTGCGAAGTTGAGTATTACGGAGACGGCCGCGACGCCAAAGTACATGTACGTTGGCCATGCCCGTGTATTCTTCGCCCAGGGCGTTCGTAATATATTCTCACCACTGGGTAGTCGGACGACGCGGTGGATACTGCGTGTGCTGAGAAACTTGTGCAGGGTAAGAGCCGTGAGGACGAGAACTGCGATAGAGATGAAGAGGGCGAGGGAGCGCGATATAACGCGTAACTTCCGGATACGTATCTTGAGGTCCTGGTGTGTATATTAGTATCACTGGTGCTCGCTTGCAGGACTTCTTTGTTGGGGGCGTACCCTGTCTTCGTTTGCCGCTTCTTTGAGCTCCTCAAAATCGCCATGAGGTAGCGGTTGACTGTACTGCGCGCTCTGATCGTCGGTGGCCAATTGGAGAGTGATCGCAGGTATCGGTCTGTTAGATGAGAACTTGGAAGTAGTCATAGTCGATGGTAGCAAGTGTTGTAGGTCTTGCTCCTGCGAGGGGCGTTGAGGCATAGTATGTATGCGCAGTCATTGGATATTTGTTGAACGCAACAAAGAATTTCGTGTGTCCCTTTTACAACATGCCGGAAGTCATGTAGATACTTGGGGTGGCTTTCAGGTTGGACATGGGGGTTTCCCAATTTGTACCGAGATCTTCGTGGTGATCTCCGTGTTGTTACATCAGCAGCCTCAGCTCCTCCAGCTCCAAACATTAGTCGATTGATAGTTCCGCCGATCGCGCCGTAATGTATCAGCACAGCTGAACTGCAGTGCTGATGACGTGCCGCTTGTGGCTGCGGTTGACCGTAAGCGGTATCGTGGTCGTGGCTGAGCTGATCCTGATTCGCCGAGTTGCCCACATACTGTGCTTAGTGATGATGTCGCTATTCTGGGAACTGATTGTCGTCGGCATGTTTACGTTGCAGATAGCTGTTCATTTGAGGATTTCATGCTCGAGCTGGGCTGTCCATCGGTAAGGTGGCTTTACGCCCCCTCCGGTAGGTGCACAGCACAAGATCGGAAAGAGCATCAGCCCATCAGTCGCTGCATTCCCTCGGATCCGCTTTATTCTTATGTGAGGACTAGTGGGTCGCTGCACCTCGTACACGGAGGTGATTGAACAGGTGCGCTACAGTCTACATTAGCAGGGAAAATGAAGTTGGCAGAATTCTAAGATAATGTCGACCTGACGTGATTTCTGCTGTCCAGGGTGGGAGGTAATTATTGAGATTCTCTGTTCAAACAGGATGGCTGTTCCAGTCGCTCCAGCGACCTGTTTATGAGCGCATGGTATAGCTATTTCCCAGCGTCATGATGAGATGATTGCTGATTGCAATACTGACTAGCACTGGTGTTCCCCCGCATAACCCCGTCAGAGTTGCAGCTATCGCTGGAGGACGGACTGCTGCGTGAGCCATTCCTCAAGTTTCTTCTGTGCGTCTTTGTCCACCAGACAAAACTTGATGGTACCCATCTCACTCATTCCCTCTTGCTCGACGGGTACACGGTCCAGGCCGGCAACCTCTTTCACTTTCTCTGCAGTGTTCAACAGTCCACCCAATCTGAAAAGAAGCATCATTTCCCCATCAGCACCAGAGGTTGGTATGAAGGCGCTCTGGCTCTTGAAGACTTTGAGGAGGGAAAGATTATGCTCATAAGCCTCGCGATCGTAGCCTATAGCTTCTTTTTCGGTCCGGACAAGTTCCCAATGATCGTCGGTAATTCGCTCCCGGGTGACTGTAGAGATGCATCAGTACATGACAATTCCACATTTGATAACCAGGACGAAGTGGTGCCACTAACCATCTCCGCGTTGATCACTGATTAGACGGACAGCTTCGATTCGGGAATATCCAAAGAGTCGCATCCAGCGCTTGATAGTTTCCGGTGTCGGGTATTGGGAAGCAATCTGCGCGTCAGAGGCTGATGCTGCATGCGCCATGCGCTCCAACTCGTCCCAACCAGCGTCCATAGTCGTGTAGCTGAAGTAGATTCTTCAAAGGTTGACTTGCGCAGTGCGATGCGCAATGATGCCGGTCGCGTGCGCGAGGTGGTGCTGTGGGCACCAAAGTCGGCTATTTATGGGTTTCAGGCTGCTTTCACATCGCGCCTGATCATCTTGGTGTGACGCGCAGCTTCAGTCTCAACTGGTAGAGTGGTCGTTCTTTCCATGGTTTGAGTGAGGGAGTCACGACTGGAGCGACTCACCATCACGGAACTATTCCGGGCTCACTAGGCCGTGTTTGGGACTTTGCGCGAACGTACCAGACTGTAAGAAAGTATGACTCAGCTGCCCGCGACATTGTTGCGGTCTTCTACTTCGCTAACAGAACATGTTTTCGCGGCATGTGGGCGCGACCGAGAACAGTGGAGAGCCTGCACCGCCATTTGGGCGCTCATCAAAGCGGAGGAGGTTACAGGGTACGAACAGATAAGGGGAGTTCACGATGGAACTGCTGGAACAAGATCAAGCGGGTAAACGCTGTATATCGAAGATTCCTGCGATGGATGCCTAGGTGTTATCGGAAGCAAATATCCCCCCCATCGGGGACAAGCGACCACGCGCGTCGGGAATGGCCTGTCTTCTTGGTGGCATCTCGCAAGTTTCACCAGCTTCGGACTCCTTGGCAGCCAGATGCGCGCAGTACTCGCACGTTTGCAGGCTGCAACCTCATCCTTCTGCACAATCATACGCGCTGCTGCTGCGAGTTCCTACGAGACAGGCGTCTAGACACACGGCTTATCGAGTAATCAAGAAACGTTGCAAGTGGATCCATTTTATTGTAAAAGATGGCACTTTACTCTTAAGCGACCCTTACATGCGCCTGAGCTCTTTAGCCTCCGACGCAACGGTCGCACGACCATAATTACCGAGGCGTATTGCACGCGAGAAATGGACAGAATTCGTCCGAGTAAAAAGTACGACTTCGCCAGAGCCAAGATGTCCGATGCAAAATGCGGGGAACGCGTGGCATCTCCATGGACAGCAGACCCAGTGGACTGGAAGCAGAATACCCGTAGTCAAAAACGAACTCGGAGGTCATAACTATCCGCTCCCGTGTGCGAACAGGGCGCGATACGGTTCCGAGGAACTAACGCCTGTGAACATGTGTACGCCTCGTGGGTCTGGCTCCTCTTTATCCTTGCGGCAGTTTACGTGAATGGCTGTTGCAGCGGAAGCGCCACAGGGACCCTGGCGCGTTGGTAGTGCGATTAAGTTCTATAACTAGATACTTAAACAGGGTCAATTCTTCTCGAGAAGTTGCTTCTCTCCAACAGGCGAAAGCTGCCACGGCTGCGTGTTCACCTCACATAGTTCTGTTACCAACATGCACAACTCCATCCTCTTAGCCGCTTGGGCTGGCATTTCGTTTGTCCTCTACAAGATCATCTCCTCGATCATCCTCTCGCGCCGCCATGCTGCTAGAGCACGTCAATTGGGCTGCTTGCCTGCCCCTGAGACTAAGCAGTCTCCATTCGATCCCCTTGGACTCCAGAATGTTGCCAAAATAATGAAGGCGGACAAACAATCCCGTATACCGCAGTATTTAAAAGATCGCATCGATGATGCGTGCGCGAGGGAAGGCAAGATCATCAACACATTCCACCAAAAAATCATGGGCGCAGAGGGATACTTCACAGTGGAACCAAGGAACATCCAGGCTATACTGGCTACGCAATTCAAGGACTACGGATTAGGAGAAAGGCGAAACGGAAACTTTGCTCCACTACTCGGCCATGGCATTGTAAGTACTATTGTCGGGAATGCGACAAGAACGTTAGACGCTGACATGAAGCAGTTTTCCAGCGACGGCGAGCAATGGGCGCATGCGAGGTCACTACTTCGGCCACAGTTCGCTCGCGACCAAGTCAGCGACTTGGACCTTGAGGAAGAACATATGAAGAACATGATGCGCGTACTGCCTACCAACTCAGACGGCTGGACAGATGTCACGGACCTAAAGCCGCTCTTCTTCCGCCTGACGCTCGACAGCGCCACCGAGTTCCTCTTTGGCGAGAGCGTTGACTCTCAGCTCGCATCACTACCCGACTACAAGTCTAGTAAGCCCCCAATGGCTGTTAACGAACAAGACTTTGCGACGTCCTTCGACCAGGCGCAGAACACCATTGCCCAAGCTAGCCGCCTTGGAGAAGCCTACTGGCTCGTATACGACAAGACGTTCAAAGACCACTGCAAACGCTGCCACGAGTTCATCGACCACTACGTCCAACTCGCATTGTCAAAGGAGAAGGGTACTACCCAGGAGAAATCACATGGCAAGCAAAAATACGTCTTCCTTGATGGACTTGCAGAGTCTACCCGCAACCCCATCGAGCTTCGCGAACACCTGATATCAATTCTACTAGCCGGTCGCGACACCACGGCATCGCTACTGTCGTACGTCTTCATGCTGCTTTCAGAGCACCCGGAAGTCTACAACGCCCTGCGCAGCGTCGTTCTGGAGACTTTCGGCACCTACTCGAACCCCAAAAACATTACTTTCGAGTCGCTGAAGTCGTGCAATTATCTGCAGTGGGTTTTGAACGAGACTCTGCGTCTTTACCCTGTCGTCCCTGTTGATGGTCGCCGTGCCCTCAAGGATTCTACCCTGCCCGTGGGCGGTGGTCCAGACGGCACAGCACCTCTCTACGTCAAGAAGGGCATGCAAATAGACTACAGCGTATACGTCATGCACCGTCGTACTGATCTATGGGGACCTGACGCTGAAGAATTCCGACCTGAGCGCTGGAATGGAAGGAAGAGTGGGTGGGAGTATCTTCCTTTCAACGGCGGCCCAAGAATTTGTATCGGTCAGCAATTTGCCCTGACAGAAGCTGGGTATGTAGTTGTAAGGTTGATGCAGAGGTTTGAGGCGATTGAGGGTGTTGGCAATACTTGGGAGCCGAAGGAGAAGGGTGGCATGGGTTATGTCAGGAATGGGCTCAGCTTGACGACATGCCCCGCGGATGGTGTCAAGTTAAGGTTGAAGGAAGCCAAGGAGTAAGCTGGTTGTAGATAGATTGGTGGATTATGATTAGAAAATGTTACCCTTCCATACCTCTATTGAATGATGCAACGAGATTGTACCAAGCATCTCGACAATACTGCGGTTGAACATGTGTATTGCTCGTTCGGCTGAACGCTGTGTTCACCCTCATCATTTTATCTTCCGATATCAAAAGCAGCGCGTCTGTGATAGTAATTCCAAGTCGAAGCGTGCAACTGAAGAGCGTGGCCAATCCCCCAGACTGTGGCGCGGCGCTAGGACCGACGGGCGAGGCAAGGATCCGTCGGCGGGACATTTCCAAACTTTTGATGCACTCCAACATCTTCGAACCCAACACGCACCACATCGCCCAATATGCGGAGAGCGCGTGGACTTCGGGTGAGGAAAAGCAAAGCCAATCATCAACAAACGCATTCTGACTAACAATGGCAGGCCTCTTCTACCCGCGACGTTTGCATCTTTTGCGCCACTCGTCAATTGGCCATCTCGAATACGCTCGCTACATCATCATCGGACGCTACACAACGACGGCAACTCAACTCATCTAGCAGAGCCCCGCAATCGGCCGAGGCCATCCTATACAAAGATGGCAACGAGCGCAAGGAGCCAATGTCGCAGGCACAGCGCATGCGGCAGGCGCTGGCCGGCAGCGCCCCTCAGCTGCAATCACAAGGAGGATTCATGTCGCCAGCAGAGAGGATGAGGGCATCGTTAGCACAAGCGCCTCCCCCGCCTCAATCCCAAGCGTCACGGCAATTCCCACCAGAGCGACGCGCAATGAACAGAGGCGGTCCTTTTGATGGGCCAGGGCGGAACCAAAGCAGAGACCGATTTGCACCTGGTGTACGGAGGACGACCGGCAACGAGCGTGGCAATGACTATCGACCTCCGCCCCAGAATCGCTATACCGTCAATATGGACTCGAGACCACAGGTCAACACCCCGGCATTTGGCTCCGGTCACCTCAGACGACGAAACGACGCACAGCTCGAACGCTCCCCGTTCGGATCAGACGACCGAAGACCACCGCAGGCTCCCAGACCTGCACCGCAAAGAAAGATGCTGGATCAAGACGAGATATCAAAGCTGTTGGGTAACGCGGCCTCAAACTCCTCGAAGCCCTACACACCACTTGCAAGGGACATGAACGTGCAGAGGACATGTTTCCACTGTGGATCGAAGGAGCACGCGAGCAATATGTGCCCATCAAAGCCGGTGCTCCGCGAGCCTCAACGGCAGGAACAACCAGCACAGAAAACGGCCATGTATACACCACCACAACGTTACAAGGAATCAATATCGGATGCTGCAGAAGCCTGGGCGCAGAAATCGAAGGGCAATTTGGACATTGAACAGTCGGCAAGATGGCAGATAGAAGAGGATAACAGGCGACGCAACGACGTGGACAGCGAGAGAAGGCGAAGTCGCTTTGCCTTTGACGAGCCGGATGAGTCCAAGAACCGATACGAAGAGCCCGCGCGAAGGCAGGGCGGAAACAAGGGCAGGAGTCGACGCATACAACGGGACGAGGAGGACGATGAAGACCGGCCACACGTCAGCAAGCAAGAACGCAAGCGGTTACGGGCTGAGGCGAAGAAGGCCGCGCAGTCGGCAAAGGCCGGTCCTACACCGATCTCATTACCAGAGTACATCAGCGTGGCCAACCTTGCGGGTGCCCTTCGGTTGAGAGTAGAGGACTTTGTGCGAAAGTTGGAAGAGCTAGGGTTTGAGGATGTACAGAATGATCACATTCTGAACTCGGAGCATGCTGGCCTTATCGCGCAGGAGTACAACTTTGAACCGATCTTCCAGGCACAGGAAGATGATGGCGACCTCTATCCCGCAGCACCTCTTGAGCCTGAGGCTTATGCCGAGCTTCCTGCACGACCGCCTGTTGTCACGATCATGGGTCACGTCGATCACGGCAAGACGACTATTCTCGACTATATGCGTTCGACCAGTGTGGCGGCTACCGAATTCGGCGGCATCACACAGCACATTGGCGCGTTCAGTGTGCCACTGGCAAACGGAAAGAAGATCACGTTCCTCGACACGCCCGGTCATTCCGCATTTGAGACGATGCGCGCTCGTGGAGCTAACGTTACCGACATCGTTGTCTTGGTCGTTGCTGCGGATGATTCTGTCATGCCCCAGACTGTGGAGGCGATCAAGCATGCGCAAGCGGCGAACGTCCCTATGATTGTCGCCATCAACAAAATTGACAAGGCGCAAGCTGACCCAGATGCTGTCAAGCTTGATCTCGGCCGCCACGGTATCGAGATTGAGGACTTTGGAGGTGACATCCAGGCTGTCTGCGTAAGTGGAAAGACAGGACAGGGTATTCCCGACCTGGAGGAAGCCATTTCAACATTGTCGGAGATGTTGGACCACCGCGCTGATCCTGCGACCTCCGTCGAAGGATGGGTTCTTGAGGGTACCACCAAGAAATCTGGACGCGTGGCTACCGTCCTGGTCCGAAGCGGTACCCTGCGCCAAGGAACAACGCTTGTCGCAGGAACTACCTGGACACGCGTGCGTACTCTACGCAACGAGGCTGGTGTTGTCGTCAAGGAAGTCGGGCCTGGCATGGCTGTTGAGATCGACGGCTGGCGTGATCAACCCATCGCTGGCGACGAAGTGCTACAAGCAGAAGATGAACAGCACGCGAGCTCGGTGACTGATCTCCGTAGCGAGAAGGTCGACAGAGAGCAGATGGCGCGCGACATGGAAGCCATCAACGAGTCTCGCCGCCTAGAAGCCGAGCGTCGTGCGGCCGAAGAAGCAGCTGCCAAGGCTCTCGAGAACGGCGAGGAAGCTGAAGTCGCTGAGGAGAAAGAGGCTGGTCCGGAGGTTGTCTCCTTCATTATTAAGGGAGACGTATCTGGCTCTGTTGAAGCAGTCATCGACTCTGTCTCCGCACTCGGAAACGCAGAGGTATCTACGCGCATCCTCCGCCACGGTGTCGGCGCACCCTCCGAATTCGACATCTCGCACGCCGCCGACGCAAAAGGACATATTATCAACTTCAACACCACAATTCCTGGACACGTTGCCAAACTAGCAGAAGAGAAGGGCGTCAGGATTCTTGACAGCAACATCATCTACCGCGTAGTCGAAAACGTCAAGGACTTGCTATCCGAGAAGCTTGCACCCAAGGTCATCCAGAAGGTGACGGGTGAAGTGGAAATCGCAGCAGTATTCGAGATTGGCCTCGGTGGTAGGAAGAAGATGAAGGTCGCAGGAAGTAAAGTCAGGAACGGTGTTGTCGATAGAGGTACCAAGGCTAGGGTACTCCGTAGCGACAAGATTGTCCATGATGGTAAGTCATGCCCCACGTTGTTGTGTAAACGAAACACACGCTAACGAAAATCATTAGGCGTGATCGAGTCGCTTAAGAACCAGAAGAAGGATGTTGAGCAGATGCGCAAGGATACCGAGTGCGGTATTTCGTTTGAAGGCTGGGAAGACTTCAAGGTGGGTGATCGCATTCAGTGTTACGAAGAGAAGTTTGAGAAGAGGAACTTGTAAGATAGTGTATACTATGTGCATAGAGTAGCGTGGGGTGGTTTGGGTTGAGGGTTTGATAACTACCCTTCTTCGTGTATATATGTAGATGTATGGATATGTAACTATCAATTATCCTAATCCCGCAAGATACGAGTATGGTGCAGGGGTCGGTTTGCCACCACCCACGCTTGTGACTTGGATATTATCACTAAACCCGTATTCGAGGTACTCTAATGCATTCGTCATTGTTCTACGCCTGATTGTACTTCGACGCCCTGACACTTTCTGTTGCATATACGCAACCTTCTATTTTCTCGCCTCTTAATGGTCTCCAACGTGTTTCCGTAGCTTGGCCCCCGTCCATAATACCGGCGCGAAGTGTGTCGACATGTTAAAGCTGAACAGCGACACAAACCACAGTATGGCCATAACGGCGACTGGGACGAGGAGGAGCTCAGTGTGGTGGAGGAAGGGCAGTTCCTTGTAGCCCAAGAAGGTGATGATGAAGTAGTAGTTCAATGCGGCGAGGTAAAGTGTGTTCGAAAGGAGTAGCGAAAACCTAGACATGTCAGCGCATATTCTGATACTGTAAGTTAAGAACATACCAATGGTGTGTGCCTATGAGTGGCATGCACAGGAACTGCACAACATAGAGGAACACCCAAACCGGCACAAAGGCCCGGATGGCAACATCCCAGCAGTACCCAAACTCGAGTTCTTCTTTACCCGAGTCTTCTCCTAGGTTGTACAGTCCCCTCCTTCGTCCTGGTAGCAGTGTGTTGTCCGGGCCTAATAATCGGCCGACCAGGAAGAAGAACAGCGTCGCTATCAATAGCGAAAGCAGCAAGAAGTGCCCGAAAATGAAGACCATGGTTATATGGAGGGTCTGTGTAAAGCCATCGGCGTATGCGAAGCCCCATGCAAGTGATGTGAGGGTCAGGAAGAAGGAAAGTAGGTATGTGAACGACGGGTCGGGGCGGTGGTATGTCTTGGTGGTTTGTTTCTACACGCTGTTAGGCACATATCGTCACACAGAGACCAGAAATACATACATGGTAGTATATCTGTCGAAAAACCTTCTTGGGTGCTATTATCAGGCTCATGATCTCCCATATGGCCATTTCAAAGTCCATCTGGGGGAATTTGAACATGCGCTTGAAGAAGCGCGGCATCTTGATCTCATTGCGCCGTGTCGATGGGGTAGAGCCAAAGTTTGAAGGTCCGCCCGTCGGCCTTGGGAGTGATATGTGCGGGTTCATGTTGGGCGTGCTTTGTGAGCTGGTGGCCGTCTATAGGCAGCTGCTGAGTGAAGGCGCGACGCCGGAAATGGAGAGATTCGAATGCGCGTCAGGTATTGGTGTCACCGCGAGTCCCAGACTTCCATCGTTGGAGGGACGCGTCAATCGTCCGGTGGTTTAGTGAATGGTGGCTATGTGTTCGGTACCTGAGCGATGACGCCGCCGTGTGAGCTAGCGCCAAGAACGAGGCTGACAGGCTCCGCCGAGAGCAAGCCCGCAACGCCGACTCGCAACCTTTGCTCCTCTCACGACAACGCGCCCACGCACCTCAACCACGGCGAACGGCGCATCATCTCCACCCCCGCGCGCATCTTGGACGATATCCGCGCGACCTTTGCACCTGCCAGACGCACCGTGGAGACCTGCATCGCGCCTCCCGCTTTCGCGCGCACCTCTCGACGCTCCTTCTAGACACTAACCACGCGACAAAGACATCCATTGTCCACGACACTCCCGCGCCTGAGCATATCGTAATACAACGCCCAATATTACTTCGCGATCAATTCTGACAGCCCACCACAGCTCTCACGCACCCACAGCCATGGCGGACGACGCTGAGCTCGCCTTCCTCGAGGCGCAAAAGGACGAATACGACCCTTCCGCCGGTTACACCATGCCCGACGCTGCTGCTGGACAGGACGAGTACGACCCCGCCGCCACATACTCGCCGCAGTCCTACCAGTCGGCATCGATGCAGCCAGAGTCTGGCGCAAACTCACCACCGGCCGCCGACGCCGAGGGCGAGAATGGGGTGCAGCCTCAGCCTACTCAGACCTCCACAGAAGGCTCCGCAGCGCCGCCGTCTAAGCGACCGCGCACTGTGGGTGGTTTTGTCGACGAGAGTGAGGACGAGGAAGAGGAGCCCGCTGTGCAGCCGCAAGAGGCGAATGCTACACTGAGTGCTACTGGAGCTTCAGAGACTCCCCAGCCATCTTTTACAAACTCTCCAAACAATACACTCCCAAACCCAGATGTACAGTTACATAGTGCACAAGATCAGGCTCCCGCTTCCATCTCTGCTTCTGTCGCTGTCAATGAGCCTGCTCCCTCTGTTGCTTCTCTTCCTAACGGCAGTACGCCTGTTGCAGACGCTACTAAGCCAGGTGCTCCCGACGTCATGACTGCTGCTTCGGCACGCCCGTCTGTAGCCCCAGCTACTCCAGCTCCTATGTCTGCTTCTCTACCAAAGGCTCGTCTTCCTCAGGACCGAGTGGGTATTCTCGAAGATCGCATTGCTGAAGATCCGCGTGGTGACATCGAAGCGTGGTTGAGTCTAATTGAGGAGCACCGTAGGCGACACAAGCATGACGACGCACGAGCTGTCTTTGAGCGCTTCTTCAAGATCTTCCCTTCATCAGTAAGCAGGACTGTCGATATCTCATGTGATGTACTAACATGTCTAGGGCGAGCAATGGGTCGAGTACATTGCCTTTGAGACGGAGCTTGACGAGCTGCCAAGGGTCGAACACCTCTTCGGTCGCTCTATTCCTTCAGCCCAATGGCTCGGCATCTACTCTGCTTACATCGACTTCATCCGTCGCCGCTTCAACCTTACCACTGACCAAAATGGACAGAACCGCCAGACCGTCACACAAGCTTACGAGTTCGTCCTTACTTCAGTCGGTCTGGATGTCCATGCTGGAAAGCTTTGGCTTGACTACATCGAGATGCTCAAATCTGGGCCTGGTGTTCTCGGTGGCAGCAGCTGGCAGGACATGCAGAAGATGGATACTCTGCGCAAGGTATACCAACGCGCTGTTTCAGTACCACACAACGCGACCCTAGAGATCTGGAGAGACTACGACAGGTTCGAGACAAGTCTGAACAAGGTCACGGTAAGCCTCATTGCATTCAGTCCCTTGTATTTACGAGGCTAACATCGATGACAGGGCCGCAAGCAACTCCAAGAAACCTCGCCTGCCTACATGACTGCACGCAGCGCCATCAACGTCCTCGACAACAACATCACAAGGGGCGTCAACCGAACCACACTACCCAAGCTGCCGCCCGCCGCCGGCTTCGATGGCTACGAGGAGTACATGAACCAAGTGAAGCTATGGAAGAACTGGATTCAGTGGGAGAAGAGCGATCCGCTTGAGTGCGCTACAGACAACCGGGAGTTGTACAATAAGCGTGTACTCCACCTGTACAAGAATGCGCTCATGGCCCTCCGCTTCTGGCCAGAACTGTGGTACGAAGCAGCTGAGTGGTGCTACGAGAACAATATCCAGGCTGAGGGCGACAAATTCCTCAACGACGGCATCGATGCGAACCCTGAGAGCTGTCTCCTCGCTTTTAAGAAGGCCAACCAGGTCGAGCAACGCACCGACTTCGAAGATGGTCAAGCGGGTATCGTTGCTAAGGGCAAGGCTGTACGAGAGCCATACCAAAGGCTTCTCGATACCATCTACGATCTCACAGCACAAGTCAAGAAGCGAGAGGAACACTCAATTTCCCGTGCGAAAGAACAATTCGAGGCACAGAAGGCTGCCGACGAAGCTGCCCGCGCAATCGCACAACAGAACGAGGATGCTGACGACGAGGACGAAGTTGTTGCTGCGCGTCGCTTGAAGGAGAAGGAGGACGCTTTCGCCCTTCAACTCCAGGCCATGTCCGCCGGGTACAATGCGCAAACACAGAACCTTAAGAAGACACTCACGTACACATGGATAGCTCTCATGCGGGCTATGCGCCGTGTTCAGGGCAAAGGAGATCCCAGGGGCGAGATTGGTGGCTTCCGTGGCATCTTCACCGAGGCTCGCAAGAAGGGCAAGCTGCTGAGTGAAGCCTACGTCGCCAGTGCGCTCATTGAGCATCACTGCTACCAGGAACCAGCCGCACAGAAGATTTTTGAGCGCGGTATGAAGCTGTTCCCTGAGGATGAGCAGTTTGCGTTGGAATACATTAAGCATCTCATCAAGCTCAATGACTCTACCAGTAAGTGACAAGGTCTTCGCATGAAAATTTTCAGCTAACTCCTCAGATGCTCGTGCCGTCTTCGAGACAGTCGTCGGAAAGCTCACGGCTAAGCCTGAGACCGTTCACAGGGCTAAATCGCTTTTCGCATTCTTCCATGATTACGAAGCCCAGTTCGGCGAGCTGGCTCAGATCACAAAGCTTGAGCAGCGCATGGCGACTCTCTTCCCTGAAGATCCCCAGCTGCACCGCTTCTCGCAGCGCTTCGCGACCCAAACCTTCGACCCGATCTCCGTCCGTCACATCATCTCGCCTCGCACACAGATGAAGCCCGTCATGCCGGCGACCATGCCATCGGTTATGCCCTCCATCGAAGAGCAGCAGCAGCAGCAACCGATGCCTGCGCTACCACCCCAAATCGTAGCCGAACAACAGCGCCTCGCGTCTCCCGGCATTGCGAACTCCCCACACCTCGGAAACCTCATGCCTGTCACGAACTCACCAAAGCGCCCTCTCGATGACGCGGACGACGGTGGACAGCCTCGCAAGCTTGTTAGGGGCGAGTCACCGCTCAAGGGCGCGGCAGGTCGCCGTCTCGATGCTGCACGCCGCAACCTAGCCACCACTGGTGCGACACCCGTTGGCCAGGCTCCCGGCCCGCCACCTCTGCCTCGTGGCGTTAACTTCCTCCTCGGCATCATTCCTCCTGCAAGCACATACAAGGAGACGCGCTTCAAGGCTGATGGGTTGGTGGCTCTGCTGCGAAGCGTTGATGCCATTCCAGTTCCACCAGGCCAGGGTCCTCCGCAGCCACAGCGCTGGGGCACCACCCCGACAACAGCGCAGCAGCTGCAGAGCATACAAGAGAAATACGGCAATGGTGGACACATGCCCATGCACCCAGCTATGGCGGGCGCAAACGCTTGGGGGCCTTAGGGAAGGTATCCAACGTTCATCTTACTGGAGCTTGTGCGCCGGCATTACCGCGTTTGAGCAAGAAAGAGTCGGATTATCTTCACTCGAAAACTGGTTGTCTAGACCAAGAACATTGCATGGATTGGCGTTTATTCTTCTCTACTCATTTGTACGGACTCGATCACCAAAACACCCGGATACTGAGAGCGTAGGGAAGGGGGACCGCATGGGGTATCACTAATGGAATAATGGAGGTTTGGCTTGGCTTTTGCCAGCCTATATGTGTGAGCGAGGCGTTGGGTTCTTGATTGCGCCTTGGGGCGGCATTCTCATCGAAGTCTTGGTGGAAGGACTTGTAGCCTCTTTCTTAGATGTCCTTAATGGAAAAGATGGTTCATCTATCCTCCTTTGGTTGTGATGTGATGCTATTCGAGTGCTCTCGTGAATAGAAAAGGAAAGGAAAGGATGTCATATGAGTCGAAACTATGTCCATACAAGACACATGCTATATGTCCACTAATACATCAACATTTTTTCCAGTACTATGTTCCTATCCTCTCCCCTCGCAGCTCGCATATAATGCACGGCATGACACCACGCATGTCTCGGTGTCATCGGGCTAGCGACCGAACTAACAACGTCGCCTTCTTGTCCGACATGCTTCCTTCCTTCTACGCTACACACATCGCGAGTATATATACCGAAACCACCACACTCAGTCAATCTGATCTTCACCCCTTAATCATGCACAGGGCACCTTGATCTGTCGCCGTCATATGGCAGTATTTCGCGGTGCAGTCTTCGAAGTCTGCCCGACGTGATCTCCGATTTAGGGGTGTATAAGAGCACGGAAGGGACGCAGTATCCAAGAGTACACAATGGATTGGAGATTTAGACTGGGTTCTCCGGTCTCGTCGCTCATAAAGCCTATTTGCTTTGTCTTAGGGGTTATGGGGAAACGCTTCTCCAGAATCGCTGTTAGAGTTCCGACCATCTCGACTTTAGAGTGGAACTCACGCCGAGGAATGTGCTCAAGGAAATGCCCCAGACATGGCAATGTGCCCAGGTAGATGCTGGCATCATTCGGCAAGCGTTAAGATCTCTTCGATTGAGTCTGGTGTTATGATGTGGTTGATGTCCAGTGTTCTCTGGTCAATCTGGGAATGCTTCACGCTTCTTCGAAGGGCCCAATATCTGAATGTACTCATTGCATTCTCGTTGTCATTATCAAATTAAGGGGCTAACTTTCCAAGCAAAGACCGTCTTAGTCTCCAGTCCATTGCACTGCTGGGATCGATCCGGCATGTGTTCGTGTCATATTCATTCCACTGTCACTTGTTGTATATCCTTACGTCTCCCGTGGCTGTGCGATATCACCATGTCACATTTCATGGTCCTTGAACGTCTCCGGCCTTGGGACCTTTGTCTTTACCATAATCTGCTCAGATTGCGCCACCGTCTCGCATCCCGCGACTCTTGACCAGTCTCTCACCGGGTCTCGAGAGGCGGTCATCACGTATCCTGCGCCACCTCAACAGGGTCACAACACCAACATTCTCACCTCGCCTGCAAACATCAGCCCCACTTAACTCTCATCTTTTACCTGTATACACCTCAGATCTGTGCACAGGGCCTCACATGCTGGCAGCTAGCGCAGTCTGCCTATCCATATAAGCTTGCCCACCCACGGCCTCAACCCTCTTTCCTTTCTCACACTACAACGACAACTACTCTCCCCTCCCTTCCTAACTTGACAATCCTCACAAGGGACAAGCCTTCTACTCTCTACAACCCCAGCTACTCCACCAGCATCAAGCCTACCTTCCTCAACCGCAACAAGAGCCGGTCTCACAATCCTCACTGCAGGCAGTTCAGTCAATAACACTGCAGGCAGTCTTCCGCGCTCAGCACCTTCCAGTAAGTTCCCAATTAAGTATTCATCTTCTTCAGTCACCATGACAACGATGATGGTGACCATCATCGCACTGCTGCCGCTGCGTACTCTGTGTCACGTCAAGGTCCTGGTACCTGCCGCGCAGTCACCGCCCTTATCGGCACGGTCACCACCGCAATCTCATCGTTCTTGCCCTCTTTGTTTTGACGCTACCACATGACCCCGACTCGGCCTAGCTTTGGAGCTCACCCAGTGCCATAACTTCCTCAGCCTCACCTTTTGTTTCCCACCCCAACACATCATATCCAACAACACTCCTTTTGTATGCCGTTCCTCTCCCATGCTTTATCGCACATAGCTTTTTGTTTCGTCGCCTTTGTCGCAAGCACATCAGTTCGCAGCTTCTACTTTTGAACTTTGCTGACTTGCCTCAGACCCGATCAGCGATCCGGTTCAAACGCTCACGTCCTCAACGCCAGTCCCGCACGCGACTCAGATCTGAGATCAAGGTACGTGTCCTCCGCTGTCGCCTCTGATCGCGCAAGCTCCATGCCGTGGTTGACTCCGGTGGCAAACGCGTCCTCGCTCTCGAACACCGCTAACATGACATCTAGAGTACGCAATGGCAGGTCCAGCCAAGAAGCGCGCGCAGGCCGAGAAGCAGTCCAACGGCTCGTCCAACGGCTCCTCTTCTGAGTCTCGCGACCCTACTCAGCGCTCCGCCCCGAAGTCCATTCCCCGTGTCGATGGCAACCGCGATCCTAACGTCCGGGCTTGCGTTGACTACACCGACCCCCGAGACCTCAAGAACATCTCCGATTTCCTTGGTATTGCCGGTTGGTACCAGGCTCGTGGTGTAAGTACAAACACTCCTCTGTCTCAGGCCGCATGAACATCTTGCATATATCCTTCGTGCAAACACACCTCCCCGCACTGCCCAAATGCAAACAGCTTCGGGCTCGCATCCTACCGAGATTGGTATGGCTACGCTCTCTAGGCTGTGAGCATAAGAGCTACATCTCCGTGTGGCTTCCCTTCTCTCATCTTTACCCTCATTCTTATTCAAAACACCATTTGGATTCTGTTATCTTCCACTCCCACAATCCACTCACATTATCTTCATATTCCCAATTTCCCTCATTTCCCATCTTCATCATGGTTGACCAGGACGCCGCTCCCCATCGCTTCTACCAGGACACCAGCCTCTACACTCCGAGGCACAACAATATTCTCTTTGCTAACGACCATCAGCTCACCATCCCGGGCTCTCTTCCTCAACGTCCCAAGAACTTCAACCAGTTCGGCAAGGCCGCCAACATCGTGCTCAACACCTTCAACGTCGTCAAGGCCCCCGACACCGTCGTCCATCAGTATGATGTAAGTTTTCCTGTCCCCCAAGTTTGACTTAATACTAACTTCTACAAGCTCAACTACAGCGGCGACGCCCTCGACTACACCAAGCGTGTCCTACTGAAGAAGATCTGGAACTCCCCTACTATCAAGGCCGAGCTTGGTGAGCCCGCCAACCTCTGGGTCTGGGACACCAACAAGCTGGCTTGGTCCGGTAAGCGTCTGCCCCGTGACGATACCCGCATCACTGTCGACCTCGATGAGGAGGAGGGCCGTCCTACCAAGCCGGGAGCGCGTGGCAACAAGCACACCATCCACGTCCGCTGGACTCGTAAGGTCGACTTCATCAACTTGAACGCTTTCCTCGATGGCCAAGCTTCTTGGTCTAACGAGTGTATCGACACGATCAACTTCCTTGACCATGTCATGCGCGAGTGGCCTTCTCAGCAGTACACTCAAATCAAGAAGTCTTTCTTCCAGCGCGGAGAAACCCGCTTCGACCTTGGCGGTGGTGTTGAAGCCTTCAAGGGTGTCTTCGCGTCCCTTCGCCCCGTTTTGGACGACAAGTTCAAGAAGTCACTGTCGGTCAACGTCGATGTCGCCAACGGCACCTTCTGGCGTGCTCAAGAGCTCACCCGCGCTATTGGCCAAGTCTTCAACTGTAACCCGCCTCAGTTCGCCACCATGTACAAGAACGCCACTCGTGACTGGAAGGGCTCCATGCTCAAGAGGGACCTCCGCAAGTTCAAGAAAGTAGGTGTATCTACGACACATACTAAGGAGCCTACGCAATGGTGAGTTGTTCTTTTCGGTTTGCCGACTACATACGCGTGGTGTACTAACTTTTGATCTCAGGACGATCGATGAATTCGTCAACTTGGACGCTTCCCAGGCGACTTTCCCGGATCCCGATGACCGCTCCAAGAAGATCTCGGTTGCTCAGTACTTTAAGAAGAAGTATGGCGTCACTGTCATGGCTGGTCTGCCGGTAGTCAAGATGACCAAGAAGATCCGCAAGGAGCCTGTCTATATGCCTGTCGACGTCCTGAAGATCGACGGCAACCAGCGCTACACCACCAAGCTCAGCGATACCCAGACGTCCCAAATGATCAAGTTCGCCGTCACCCTTCCCAAGGAGCGTTGGGCCGCTGTTCAACAGGGAGTAAAGTTGCTCAACTGGCAGAATGACCCCTACCTCCGCCACTACGGCCTGAAGGTTAGCTCCGCGCCTGCCAAGGTGACAGCTCGTATCCTCCCTTCGCCCACCGTTCACTTCGGCGCCGGTTCCAAGGAAGCCACCATCAAGCCTGCGGACATGATCGCCGGTCGCTGGAGGTTGGACGGTCGCAAGTTCGCCATGAACAACAAGGAGCGTCCTATCAAGGCGTGGGGTGTCTGCTGTGTCCAAGGTCGTGGCAGCCCTCCCCCTCAAGCCATTGAAGCCTTCTTCCAGAAGTTCGTCCAGATCTACGAAGCCCACGGTGGACTTGTAGCCGCGCACCCTCAGCATGGCAAGAAGCCATGGATGGGTCCCGGTAACCTTGCTGATGGTGGTGAGATGATCCAGAAGGTCTGGAACCAGACTGGCAACAAGTACGCCATGCCACCTAATCTGCTCTTCTTCGTTGTCAACGACCGCAATGTCGACGTCTACCGTCGCATCAAGAAGTCTTGCGACATTCGATTCGGTGTGGCTTCGCAGGTTCTTCAGGCCAAGCATGTCATGTCTGCTTCGCCCCAGTATATCTCCAACGTCTGCATGAAGGTCAACGCTAAGCTTGGCGGAGCTACTTCGGTTGCGAAGTCTCAGCTCATTCCCAAGGTTGCCCCGAAGTCAGCATCGATTCCCACCATGGTTGTTGGCGCCGACGTCTCTCACCCTGCTCCCGGAGCCGCTTCAGGTGAGGCTGCATCCTTCGCTGCCATTACGGTATCCGCCGACGTTCACTTCGCCAAGTACTGGGCTGAGGTTCAGACCAACGGTAACCGCGTGGAAATGGTCACAACCTCCAACATCAACGACCACTTCGGGTTCATGGCCAAGAACTGGATGCAGAAGATCGGCCAGGGCAAGCCTCCTCAGCGTGTACTCTATATTAGAGATGGCGTGAGCGAGGGACAGTACGCCGCTGTCCTTGAGGAAGAAGTCCATGACATGAAAGAATGCTTCAAGAAGCTGGGCTGCAAGGAGATCCCCAAATTCACCGTCGTCATTGCTGGTAAGCGCCACCATATCCGCTTCTTCCCTGAGGCTGGCAAAGGCGACCGCAACGGCAACCCTCTTCCCGGTACTTTGGTAGAGACTGGCTGCACCCATCCGTTCGAGTTCGACTTCTATCTCTGCGCCCACGTTGCCATCAAGGGTACAGCTCGCCCCATCCACTACCAGTGCATCCTCAACGAGGGTGAGTGGCTGTCGGCCGAGCTCCAGCAGTTTATCTTCGAGCACTCATACCACTATGTCCGCTCTACTACTCCGGTGTCCCTGCACCCTGCGGTCTACTACGCCCACTTGGCTGCCGACCGTTCCCGTGCTCATCTCAACGACAACCCGGTCTCGTCTGGCAAGAAGGAGTCCAAGGCCGACCAGCAGTCTTCCACTGGTTCATCCAAGCAGAACGTCGAGATCGCTCCGTTGATGCCGATGCAGAACGCACGCGGCCTCAGGGATGTTATGTGGTACATCTAAGGAACGAAGAGAGGTCAAGCCGGTCGGTAGTGCTGGATAGGATGGCTTCACTGGTTCGAAACACGATGGAGGACTCGGTTGCGACGATGGCGTGAATCTGTTCACGGCGCATCAAAAGTCGGTGATTCGGTATTCTCTTCAATCTTTCCTTGCGATATCCATATTTCATGGTCCTAGCGAGGACATCTCATGATCTCAGGTAGTATGCCTCGCCCGTCAGCGGCCTCGCAGAATCAATATGGTATGAAATAACTCCTGCTGCTTTGCGACGTTGTGATGTTGCGCATACGTGCTCAACTTCTCGCGTTTGTTAACATGCCCACGAACTATCGGCCAGATCAGTTTGATACAGTGTCCATCGCCGGAACTGAGTTGAGTGTCTAAGAGGAGACCGTCCATAGGTTCAGCCTAGATTTTACCTTGCTCTTCACGATCCGAAGGCTAAACTACCGCAGGCTCAGACTGCCGGGTGCTTAGCAGAAGTATAGCCACGGCCTTGACAATCCAAAAACGGCGCCTGACCCTGAGGCGAGCTTCCAATCAGCCTAAATAGCTGTTGTATCGATCAAGTGGCCACGAGCCCCGGAGAGTCGATGCGCATGGAGATCTTCGTTTGCTCTCGTTGCGATCGGGTACAAGCTGTTAATTTCACGAGGAAACGCGGCCACGAAGTCGAAGATCGCAGAGCTTGCAACTTTGCGCCGAAGAATGGAGGTCGTACTCCCCGGGCTAATGGAGAAAGCCTGTAGTATGTGTTTCCAGGCTTCGCCACGATTGCAGATGCCTGGTTGACAATGGGTAGATCGACACAGACAGATTGCTACCTGTTCTTATTGCGAAATCGTGTGCGAAGGTTAAGAAGCACTTTGAAGGCAGGCAGGAGACGACAGAGGCACTTCTAGCTTGCTGGACGCGCCGCGCATCACGAAGCGCGATACCAGAGGACTTTACGCTCACGACGGCGATAGCATCATTATAAGCCTCCTATCAAAGCTTCAGTGAATGAGAAACGACGATAGCAGGGTGTTTACATACTCGATTGAGTCCCGAGCGCAACATCACATGCAGGCAAGAGGTATGTACCGTCCAATATATTTACCTTCGCTCCACCAGCGCAAAGCGCAGAAGAGAAGGGGGTAAGCGAACGCATGATCATTCTAACCTCCATTTTCCCCTCCAAATCTTCATTGAGTGGAAGACACAGAGTGAATAATGGGGTGTTCAGTTTTAATGAGCAGAAGAGGATCGCGCGACGCGTTGATTTTGATGGATGCGAAATTTCGGATGACTAAGAGGCGCTTGCATGGTTGGGGTTAGCAGCGAAGCAAGGGTCAGGTGAGCGAATCAAGGCTGGCGCGTTGGGTGTGACGAGTATGGTGGGGCAGGGGATTTTGGGCGGCGGCGCGGGGTTTTGTTGTCGGCCTGTGGGAGTGACTCTTTGCAATATTGAGGATCAAATTGAAGTTCTGGGCGTATCAGGTGAATAAAGACTTTGTAGGCGGCGAACAACGTGGGGTGAGAAGCTAACAACCTGTAGTTTGATAGACCTGCACTCTCACACCCGCCCTTGTGAACGGAGATCCTTACACAAACGCACCTTACCCACTCTCCACTAAAGCTTCCCACGGTTCGGACTACTGCGAGAAGAACTACACACTCAACCGCAACCCCAAACCCTTCGATACCGACAAAGTCCCTCGATCAGCATACGGACTCGACCTGCAAGCAGTCACCGAACACTTTCCACTTCTCTACAAACAACTCAGACACACAACATGTCTTCAGCAGGACGTGGCCGCGGCGGCAAGTTCAACAAGGTCAAGCGCGGAGGCGGCAAGAAGTTCTCACGCGACCTACAACCGTTGAATGCAGATGGCGAGGTCGTTGGCATGTGGGGTGTAAGTACCTGATTTACCAAAGTCGCAAAGACTGTCTAACAAATAATCGCAGGAACAACCCGACAAGGTTGACGAAGAGTCGTCCGAAGAGGAAGAATCTTCTGAGGAAGAGTCTGGCGACGAGGACGGCAAGCCCGCACAAGAAGAACTGACGCGCGAGCAGCGTCGCGAACTCGCAAAGAAGCGCAAGGCGGCCGCGATCGCGAAGAAGTCACAGAAGACCCCCGAGGCAGGCGATATGCCCACCGACTCCTCCGAAGAGGAAGACGACGATATGCCCGCGAACCCAAACCACACTGCGAAAGCCCGTACACAAGCCGCAAAGGCACCTGTCGACCCAGACGCTGAGCCCGCTGCTGCCGCTGCTAAGGGCAAAGGCAAGCAGCAAGACCTGTCTCAACTCTCTCGCCGCGAGCGTGAGGCTCTCCAGGCACAAGCCAGCAAGGACCGATACGATAAACTACACGCTGAAGGCAAGACCGAGCAGGCTCGTGCCGATCTGGAGCGCTTAAAGCTGGTCCGCGAGCGTAGGGATGCCGAGGCGGCGCGGAAGAAGGCTGAGGCCGAGGAGCGTGCTGAGCTGGAGAAGGAGAAGAAGGAGCTCATGGACCGTGAGAACAGGCGGCGGGAGCAGGCCAAGGGCAAGGCGGACCGTCTTGCTAAGGGCGGCAAGAAGAAGGCCTAAGTCTGACAGTCATTGTTAGGCTTGGAGCTTCCGCGACGTTACCAGTTACCTCTGCGACGCCCGGATGTCAGTACATGTGTGCGAACGCACTCCGTTCCATGCTTACGGGTTGCGCGGTTCGCGCACGGCGTAGCCACTTCGAGCTACTGGTCGATGCTCATGATGCGATGATAGAATCAAGTACAGGATGGCGGCATGGTGTATACCATGTAGCCTACTGGATGCAAAGAAGAAACAAATGTGATCCAACTTCACGAGCCATGAACACCATTTCGCTTGCCGTGACCAATGTACTAAGACTGAGAAGATGACTGCACGCCCTGTGACAATACCCAACATCTCACATTCAGGCGGCCCTGATACTGCACAGCATCTAGAAACCTCGATAGCAGATACGAGTCCGCATGCTGAGCCACGAGCCCTCAAGCCGCCCTTGTGCTTCCCCGCGAATTAGTGTCTCGCCTCGCGAACGCGAAGATTCACGACTTCGTCATCACTTCCTCCACTATATGAACATCGCGATGGCGCCACTGATGCTTCCCATCATGCGCATACACGTACAGGTCCTCTCGTATCGTTGCGCATCGCGTTACGATTCTGTCGACCATGGCTGAACCGATACCTGCTGAGGAGCAATCCAACTTCGAAACCTTCCGCGACTGCTTGAGTGAACCCGTCCTTAAAGCTCTGGCTGCACCGATCGAGAAGCCAAAATCGAAGAAGAAGCGACATGCGAAAAAGGGGTCGAGGAGTGGGAAGAATGAGATCGTCAAGCAGGAGGTCGTACCAACGGTGGTAGAAGCCCAAGAAACGGATGCGGAAGACCTGGGCGAATTCATAGAGGTATTTCATCCCTACTAACATACACACACGCGTACTCTAGAGCCTCACTAACAAAAGAACCAGTACCTAAGCACCCTAATCTTCCCCTTCCTCCCCGCCGAACTGCGCACGCTCACGCATTCGATCTTCAAGGACTCACCGACCCTCCAAGACCTCTACACAACGCCCCTCTCATCCTCAACGTCCACCGCCCTCCTGCACACCATCCCACCCACCGCAATCGACAGCCTAGAAAGCTACGGCCTCCTCCCACCCACGTCCGACACCATCGACCAGCACAACCTCCTCACACCGCTCCTCACAACGTACATTTCCGCCGTCACCGCCCCGCCCCCAATATGGAGCAGCACGCGCGCCACCGCCTGCGAGCTCTGCAGCAGAGACTGGGTACCGTTGACATACCACCATCTCATTCCCAAAGCGGCACATGCGCGTGTGCGGAAGCGCGGGTGGCATACAGAGGATAAGCTCAATAGCGTGGCGTGGTTGTGTAGGGCTTGTCATAGCTTTGTGCATCGGTTGGCGGGGAATGAGGAGTTGGCTAAGAATTTCTATACGGTCGAGTTGATACAGGAGGGTGGGGTGGAGGAGGATGTCGAGAAAAGGGAGAGTGTTGAGGGATGGGTTAAGTGGGTTGGGGGTGTTAGGTGGAGGAGTCGGTAGGAGGTGGGAAGATGTAAGGGCGTTGGATGTGGTGGTCTAAGGTTGGTATTCGAAAGCTTTGGATTACCTGTTGTATTGTTCCTGGATGGATGCGCGACACCTTTTGGGTTGTGAGTACCACGGGACGGAAGACCTCGCTTCTCATCATTCTGCCACCACTTTTGTGCTCTATCGCATATTCACGTCTCTGTCGCACGCGTTCTGTCCTCTTTTTCCTGCGTATCGACAGCTTATACTTCGCATTAAGCGACCATGCTGCCACCCTTCGCCTACTCCGTCTTCCGACTGACGGTCTACCCCATCTTCATCGTCCTCATCACGACTGTAACGGCCATCGTCACCATAGACCCCTTCAAGAACACCACACTTCAGTACTTCGCTATTGGAAATATTGGTGTAGCGTTATGGGGTGTACTTGCGGGTGCCCTATAGCCCATGAGAAGGGGCAGCAAATGGGAAGAGAAGTCACAAGAGCAAAGAAGCAAGCCGAGACATGATTGTGGTGTGGTAAAAATAGTATCGATTCATCCATCAGAGGTCAAGTCAACCAGACGACCTCTGGAAAGCACATATGCACGCTAAAATGAGGATATACAACGGGTATCCAGCCCTCAAAACGCCGGTGTCGATATGCGACAATGCCTAATCCAAACACATGTAATCGTTGATACAAATCTCTCAAGTCCAGCTTGGGGATGATGATTATAATGGCGCGCCGTCCAGGAATCCCTTCTCGACTTCGTCCTCAAAGATCGAATATGAACGCCCGCGCTCGCTCATCTTGTTCTCCTTCTTTCTCGCATCGAGACTTGCGCGAACATGTTTGAGGAAGGCCTCGGTGCTTGGGTCGCTTGGTGTACGGTGGAGTTCGCAAGGCATGTTCGATGCATTCGCGACGGGTGCTGGTGCGA